CAACAGAAAAACATTCTAATGTTACTATATGTATTTCACTGTGCGAATTTTTACCACGAGCGGTGTAGTATCTTGTCATACTCCCTGTGAGCCATAGCGCCCTATATCAATTTTCACCAGCACCGACGTCGTCGTCGCCGCTGCCGTTATCATCATCGTCGTCATCAAAATTCTTGTTACTGTTATTATTATTATAATCATTATTATTACTCACACTCTCTGTTACAGAAGATTTTACATAACCACTTGACCAGGATATTCCACAGATCCACTGTGACCAGGTACCTATTGTCATTGGGAAGTCGTATTGCATATATTGACGTCTCACAAGATAAACATTGACGTTGATTCGCGACCCACGCCGGACGTTCCTCCTGTCTCACGTCATGAGACTCAGCGTCGGCAGAAAACGATTGTGATACCTGAGTGTTTATATCATCTGGTGATCTGTTCAGTAAATATATTAAATATCTGGGTGTACATTCAGTACTAAGAGATCACGACGTGATACTTAACATAAGTATCCTAAATACAAGCACGACATTGTTCAGCGCGTCTCTTATACTTGAGTTTATGTGAAGACGTTGTGATAACAAACGAGTCTGGATAAGGCAATCTTGTGATTGATATAGAGACACAGTTCACGCTGTCGGGCGTCGATAATAGTGATAGCATAATGGTTTAAGCGTTCGCTCGTCACTCCAAACCCGGTTTCGATTCACCACATGGGTAAAATGTGTGAAGCCCGTTCTGGTGTCCCCTGCCGTGATACTGCTGGAATATTGTTAAAAGCTAAAACCAACTCACTCGATGACACGCAATTCTTAGTATTTGCTGCGTACAGATTAAATCCCGTGTCTTAAAGAACATGCAGTTACTAAGCCTGGTAATGTGACAAAGTGTACGTCTCACACCTTTGTCCTTTCGAGGCATAGTTAACGAGCTGTTTGTACAGTAATCTCTCTTGAAAGATGGTTGGTGTATGACGTGAAATTTGCATGCGTACGACTTTCATTTTCAAAGATGAAAAAGAGGCTAGAAACAAACACTAACAACTGTGTGATGCAAAATGACTGTCAAAATTAATGGTCTACGGTGATTTATCTTTCTGTTTGAAAACCGTCAAAATCACGAATGACACACCATGCACGTGCATGGTGCGTTTATTAGATGTCTGTATTTGAAATATTTGTTAACGCTTATAATTCTTATCCAAATTGAAAGTTCATGTCCCCTACTTTTTTTAAAGAGTATATATGGAGTATTGGGGTAGTCTAGTGGTTAAAGCGTTCGCTCGTCACGTTGAAGAACCGGGTTCGATTCTTCACATGGGTACAATGTGTGAAACCCATTTCTGGTGTCCCCAGCCGTGATATTGCTGGAATATTGGTTAAAGAGGCGTAAAGCTAAACTCTCAATCTTACATTATATTACCTCTGAATTTGTACTGCCACACAATTTTGTACTGCCGTACTAGCTCTTTACTGATTTGTATTAATTTGTGAACTTAGTTAATTTTAGTAAGTACAACACATTTTTTTATGTTTTTTGGTTTCATGCTTAGTTCTTTTACGTACAGATTCCGGTTTAGCGTTTTAGTTTCAGTGAGTGAGTGAGTTAAATTTTACGCTGCTTTTAGCAATATTCCAGCAATATCAGGGAAGGGGATACCAGAAATGGTGTCCATACTTTGTGCCCATGTGGTGAATCGAACCCAAGTTGCTGCCTTTTGGGGTTTGAGACGAATTTCACCATGAAGAACGTGAAATCTTCTTTTCATCTGTCCTATGCCTCGTTCCACTACACATCTAGTTGCCTTGTGTGCACTGAAATATTTTATATTACATATAAAAATGTAGAAAAATCTGTGACATCATTTGAATTTTAGAATATTTAATAATATTTGATGACAAACAAATTTTTTTAAATATTTTTAATATTATCATTAATCAAATTTGTCAAATATTACAGGTATAATTTAAAATATTATTTAAGAAAAATATCTATATTGAGCTATCAAAATAAAATTAATTTTATCATGGATGATAACATTCACAAAGTAAATATTTTGAAGGGTTTTGATTTATTTTATACATAAATAAACATCACAGTAATGTAGAGGTTTGTTAATTGTTATAACTATATCATAATAATATTATTTACTATATACATGATAATTAATTATATAAACTTATATACTTGCATTATCTTTATAAGGATTTGTTACGTTCCAGTATAATACAATGTTTTTAGGTATCCCGTTTGCCAAGGGAAGTCACTGTCATTTCTTCATGTTACAAGTTTTCATAATATTTACTTGTTATATCTTGTCTGTTGTCCAGCCTGTGGGTGAATAAATGGTGTCAAAAGCCACCTGCGACAGGGGTAACCACTGTCTCCTAGCAAGTGGCAACCATTAGGTATGATCCCATGTTCAAACAATACTTTCACACCACTTTCGTTCAGGATACGTGCGTCATGTGTAGCACCCGGTCACTTCGCAACTGTGTCAGGGATTCTCTCGTCGGAATCAAAAACCACTTGAACATTTCACGAATGGAAGCTCTTCCTGTTTACATACTCATTCTCTTGTTCAGTTGGTGCAATTATCTTCACATGGGTGCCGTCTATAACCCCAGGGACACCCTGGAATCCGCTAATAACATAAAACGCGTTGATGGCGCTGTATTTCTTGATGATTTATAGGCATTCTTATGAAACGGCCAATAAGTTGTGGTGTACAAAATGCATTGAAAGTCTCTGTGATGACATTGCTAACAGAGGCTTGACTTATTCCAAAGTCATCTCCGTTCCAAAGTTGCATTTTTCCTGTGGCAAGGTACCGAAGGGTAATTGCAACTTTGCTGTCTATGGCCATATTCCGCTTGGTTGGAGAGGTTAGCTTATTTCTTACCAAATCAATCACAAACCTCATGCCACCACTATCCGGTACGGGAATATCAATTCAGTATCATTATACTCATTAAATACATCTTTTCGTGGTCTAAAAACACTCTGGTGGTGACGCCGAGCAGCCGGTTTTTTTTCAGAAAATTCTTCACCTGCTAGGAGTGCATGCTGAGGACTCCTAACCCTTTGTAAAGTTAAGAGTAATTCTAATAGTAAAATCACTTTATTAATTTGACTTAAGAAAAAAATCTTACATTTAAGATTAAAAATTGATTTATTCTAAGAATTAGCCAGAGTTAAGAAATATGTTTCACTCTTAGAATCTATATTAATACGGCTTCTGGTCTCCTGGTTGCAAAAAGACCAAAATGCAGCTGCCAGATTGGTCTGCAGAACCACCAAACACAGCCACATCTCCCCAATCCTCATGCGTCTGCACTGGTTACTACCCCCAGCCAGGATAGAATACAAGATACTTAACATGACTTATAGATGTCTTAACAATGCAGCTCCATCCTATCTCTCTAGTCTTGTCAGAGAGTACGTTCCAACTGAGATCAGCCAATCAGTCGCTGCTCATCGTCCCAAATGCACGTCTGAAGACATACGGACATCGACGTTTTTCCTACTTGTCAGCTATCCTCTGGAACAATCTGCATGTGTCTCTCAAAGAATCCCCCTCAATAGCCAGCTCCCAGTCTAACTTAAAAACTTTCCTGTTCAAGAAGCACTATGACATATAAATGAACTCCCTGTTGTGAATATGTATATATGTTAGCGCCATGAGCAACCACTTGTTAGGATATAGTGCGCTATACAAATGGACTTATGTCAAAACCCTGGACGACACATGTGGACCAATGCATAACCATGGTTGACGAATGGTAACGCGTGTTAACTGCGTTACGTATGCCTCGCTTCCTACTGAAGCTCTTATGCAACTTCCAAGTGACACTATGGGTAAAGTTTCATGTCATCATATTTGATTAATTTCTCAGTGAAACGATCCAAATACACATCCAGTCCTTATAATTAGTTTGTAAAACAAAAGCAACGTGTTGTCGACTTTGATTGATTAAAACAATTAGATAACTTAAAGTCGACATAAATGACGAGATTCATAAAAGTGTGTGACGTAGGTTTACATACTTTAACGTGATATGAATAAGGTAATGCTTAATCATATGAGAGCTAAGTCCTAAAGACGTGCCACTCGAGGCAAGAAGCGAAAGAACTGATCTGTCACACTGTTACAAACGGGAACACATATACCAGGGCTGATGCAAATGACATGGACAGAAAACGACAACATTCAAACATTAGTTATCTGTGAATGTGACGACACAGTCCTTTAGAAGTGAAGCAGACCTTTGTGGAACCGGGGCGAGCGAGTGTGTGCATTAAATTTTGTTGTTTCATTCCTTCTCGGACGTCGACCTCGAGAGGTGCTTTGGCAGATGAATATGCATGAAGGTCGCTTAAAAAGTGGGCGTGTAATGTGAGCTACCACCAAGAGGCTTAAAAGTAGTCATCGAGCGCATATATTGAGCGCAGCTTATTTTCTATAAAAAAAGGTATACAGTATCATTTTATTTGTATAATCATTATTTTTTCGAAATATCTGGCCTAATTTTTATGCAGTTACAGAATGGTGCAGTGTGCAGAAAGGGAATTCGTCATGACCTACTAATGACATGTGTTACCTTAAGTCTTCCAGCCTGTCATTATCGCTCGATAGCTTCCTCCAAAACAAGCTTGACCTTTAAGGTCACCGATATATGCTGGATATGCTGTTCACTCGAACTGGAATGTACCCTGGTGGTTAAAGTGTTAACCTGGTTGTTAAAGTGTTAACCTGGTGGTTAAAGTGTTCACCTGGTGGTTAAAGTGTTTGCTCATGACGTCGAAGACCCAGGTTCGATTCACACATGGGTCCATGCTTGAACCGATTTCTGGTGTTCCCAGCGTTGATATTGCTGGAATATTGGTAAATGCAGCGTAAAGTTATGATCACTGACATTGGAGAGAAACACGTTAGGTGACATTTTTTTACAAAGGGAAAAAATATTTTATTAGTCATATAAAGCGTGTAAATGACAGGGGTGTGAGCTCGGTGCACGATCATTATTTGACAGACAACGAAACTGTAACGAGTCCAAGTCTATAGTTCTTTATAATGATCTCCTGCACACTAAGGACTGGATTTCATAACTCTTTGAGCATACAATGTTCTAGTGCTGGAATTCACACCACAACGTTCGCTTGTCCACGAAGCAAAAGGTGGACATCCTGTCATGGTAGGGACCTAGTCTTTGAGATCACCCTTCTTCTTGCTTCCTAAACGCTGAACATTTTAAACGATGCAATAATCTTTCCTAACACATAAAGACTTGGTTATAAAATAATCTAACTTCACTTAAAATAGTTTTGTACAAAAATAATTCGATGTAAATATATTCGGATCTTCTTCAACCTTCAACAACAGGTGCTGCTTCAGCTTATGTTCATTGTAGTTTGGACGGTATTTTGTGATGATGTATGTTGTAGGTGATTTAATTACATTTTCAATTTACTGAGGAGGCCTGATGGAAAACAAGCTAAATCACAAAGAGTCATTAGCATCGGCAGTGACTACCTGTAACCTGAGTCCAGTGATATTTATGTGTAGTAACGGCTATATCCCACTCCGAATATACACAGTACTGCTAGTATCCATGGTGATCCTTCTTTTATCCCTCCTGCTCCACTGGCCGGACAGCTGGGCTTCTCCTCTTCCTCCTCCTCCCCCGTGTACTCCCAGTTCCCACAACGGGGGAAGTGTTTAGGGGGTCGGGGCATCTGGTTCAGCTCCCCCACCTGTATGATGAGAGCCATCCCGATTGCCACGTGGAAGTCGATGTGACAGTGCAGCAGCCAGAAACCTGAATAACAGAAATAGAGATTGACACGTGGAAGTCGGTGTGGCAGTGCAGCAGCCAGAAACCTGAATAACAGAAGTAGAGATTGAAACGTGGAAGTCGATGTGGCAGTGCATCAACCAGAAACCTGAATAACAGAAATAGAGATTGACACGTGGAAGTCGGTGTGGCAGTGCAGCAGCCAGAAACCTGAATAACAGAAGTAGAGATTGAAACGTGGAAGTCGATGTGGCAGTGCATCAGCCAGAAACCTGAATAACAGAAAGAGAGAATGACACGTGGATGTCGATGTGGCAGTGCAGCAACCAGAAACCTGAATATCAGAAATAGAGATTGACAAGTGGATGTCGATGTGGCAGTGCATCAGCCAGAAACCTGAATAACAGAAATAGAGATTGACACGTGGAAGTCAATGTGGCAGTGCAGCAGCCAGAAACCTGAATAACAGAAGTAGAGATTGACACGTGGAAGTCGATGTGGCAGTGTAGCAACCAGAAACCTGAATATCAGAAATAGAGATTGACACGTGGATGTCGATGTGGCAGTGCAGCAGCCAGAAAACTGAATAACAAAAATAGAGAATGACACGTGGAAGTCGATGTGGCAGTGCATCAGCCAGAAACCTGAAAACCAGAAATAGAGAATGACACGTGGAAGTCGATGTGGCAGTGCAGCAGCCAGAAAACTGAATAACAGAAATAGAGATTGACACGTGGAAGTCGGTGTGGCAGTGCAGCAGCCAGAAACCTGAATAACAGAAGTAAAGATTGAAACGTGGAAGTCGATGTGGCAGTGCAGCAGCCAGAAACCTGAATAACAGAAATAGAGAATGACACGTGGAAGTCGGTGTGCCAGTGCAGCAACCAGAAACCTGAATATCAGAAATAGAGATTGACACGTGGATGTCGATGTGGCAGTGCATCAGCCAGAAACCTGAATAACAGAAATAGAGATTGACACGTGGAAGTCGGTGTGGCAGTGCAGCAGCCAGAAAACTGAATAACAGAAATAGAGAATGACACGTGGAAGTCGATGTGGCAGTGCAGCAGCCAGAAACCTGAAAACCAGAAATAGAGAATGACACGTGGAAGTCGATGTGGCAGTGCAGCAGCCAGAAAACTGAATAACAGAAATAGAGATTGACACGTGGAAGTCGGAGTGGCAGTGCAGCAGCCAGAAACCTGAAAAACAGAAATAGAGATTGACACGTGGAAGTCGATGTGACAGTGCAGCAGCCAGAAACCCGAATAACAGAAATAGAGATTGACACGTGGAAGTCGATGTAGCAGTGTAGCAGCCAGAAACTTGAATAACAGAAATAGAGAATGACACGTGCGCAGACAAAACCATGCCTCGGCATCAGCACGATGGGTCATGTATCAGTACTGTCAGCTTGTAAAATATTGAGTATGTACCCGAGAACTTGACGATAACATTGATTTTGCAGAAAAAACACACGATTTATCACCTGCTATTGTTTTGCAAGTGCACCGCCTACCTCGAATATCTGCAGCCATTCACATGGTCATGGACCACCAGCTATGATTATTTCCAATCATTCTTATGATCGTGGATAATCTACCCGGATTATCTCCAATCAGTCTACCACCTACCCGGATGATCTCCAATCATTCTGTGCTCAAGTACTATATAGCTACCCGGATTATCCAAAAAGGTTCTTATGATCGTGGATCGCCAACCCGGGTTATCTCCAAGAGTTCTTCTGATCATGGATGATCTATCCGCATTATCTCCAATCGTTCTACCACCTACCAGGATTATCTGCAATCATTTTATGCTCATGGACCACGTTCTTGGATTATCTCCAATCATTCTATGCTCAAGGACCAGCTACCCGGATTGTCTCTAAAAGTTTTTGTGATCGTGGATCACCTACCCGGATTATCGCCAATCATTCTTATGACCATGGATAATCTCTCCGTATTATCTGCAATAGTTCTTATGATCATGGATAATCTTTCCGTATTATCTCCAATAATTCTACCACCTACCAGAATTATCTCCAATCGTTCTATGCTCAAGGACCAGTTACCCGGATTATCTCCAATCGTTCTTATGACCGTGGATCACCTCCCTGGATTATCGCCAATCATTCTTTCATTCATATGATCGTGGACCACCTACTCGGATTATCTGCAAATATGTTGATATTCCTGAAGCACCTACCCGGATTATCTGCATGAAACCTAATGACAGTGTAGCCTCCATCAGGAACCGTGACGGTGTCTTTAGCTATAGGTGTGTCTAGATTCCTTTCAATCAGGCCATCAGCATCCATCTGTTTGATCTCCTCTAGAGAGGTAGATTCGTTCACCTGGTTAGAATAAACACCAAAATTACATCGTGTAGAATAATAGTATGGGACCTGTAAATCTACCCATTTTGTCAATTAGGAGATAAACATCATGTGTTGGCCAGTTTCCGGGTGTAATTGTACTCAATAACACCCGGAAACTGGCCAACACATGATGTTTATCGACATTGTAAACACAAAAGTAAACCAAAAGGTCCACACACGTTTTTGTGTCAGCACTCATTGACATCGAGTACGGTTACAGCAGTGAAATGTCATCAGCCGGCCGTTTAGGCTGTCTCCCATGGTAGCATCTGGAACTGCTCATTTGTGACGTCATTCCGACTTTACGTCACAATATGATTTGAATGACGTCATCAGGACTGTTTGTACGTATTAATACTCAGCGAATTTCTGGGAATCGAATACCATTCGATCATGTTTTTCAACCAATCAGATTAAAGAACACAGTGACTTTTGGTTTACAATCCAGGTTAATCTTTACTGTAAAACAGGACAATCTTAGCCAGCTTCCTGAAGTTCGAAATTTACCCTTTCCAGTGTGAAAACACAATTTATACATTTGGGATGTTTGCTGGATGTTCCCCACCCTTAGCAATCGTCGAGCTATATGACGGATGTCTGTACATATTGTTTCTGGACCAGACAATCAACTGATCGATACAACGAGCAACGACGCACAGCATCAGAGATATGGCAGTCAGTCAACAGCTTCAAGTCACCGTGCCACGCGACTCTTTCCAATATGTCACTTAACGTCCTGCAGAGGTTGCTAGGGACACATCCAAATCCTTGAATTCCAATAGGTATTTTGAAAGCGTGATTAACCCTAAATAAATGTGTAATATGTTTCGGGAGATTAATATGCGAATACCTGTTAAGTACCATTTATCTTACAATGGGTTGCTTCAATACATATCTATCGAGTGAAGGCGTAACAATACCATCATGAGTGACTAACCGCTAACTACGGACAATCTTGTAAAATGCGCGCCTCCACAAATTGACCTACAATTACAGCCTTGGATTATCAAAGCATGACGATGATGCAAACTAGATACATTTTAAAGAAATATACATATACACTTTAAACCATAACGTTTCTACTCTTACGTAGGCCATTCCACTGAATCAATGAATAATAAAATGTGGAATGTTCTCCTCCCTACCCTGACAATGGGTCATCACCATGGAGATACCCTGACGATGGGTCATCACCATGGAGTAGCCAATCAAACCTGAAATTCTCCAAACGTTACCTATTTCTCTCAAACGGATGTATAAGAAATTGTATTCTTAAACTAAGCAACACCATTCCACTACAACGTCCCCCAAGGGATGAGGATGGTGTCGTTGCAGTCAACGTATTCGAGAGGCATTTAGAAGTTGGAGCCGTAAGGATAGATGAGCATCGTCTTCATTATAGTGAGAGCGACGTGTTGGTGCTAACACCGTTATCAAACAAGTGATGAACAGAATAAACATTGAGAGGCATATATAAAGTGTGAGGAAGTGTTTATGCACGACAGTGGGAAAACGGTGAACTGTTCGTAATATTTTTATCTATTGCAATCCAGTTAGAGTGACATCTAGTCTCTTGGAAATGAATAACACACAAAAACGGTTCCTATTTAATATTTAAAAATATAGTGACAAAGAGCACAGTCCATTTACAAAGGTGTCATAAAGTAGAAACAATGTGTGACTAGGATGATTTTGTCATCTTCAATGTATCTGTATGACAGACTACAATCCAGTGTCCAAATATACGTAAGAAACATCAATCTTATGACTATAGTCAGTATCAATTTAAACATTATGGCTCACCCTGTCCATGGCCACAACCCGGAAGTGGTGTCCGTGTAGATGTATTGGATGGTTGGCGTTGAAGGTGACGCCCTCATCAATGAGCACCAACTCCACTGTGTCGTCCAGGTCCACCTTGATGAGGTGGATGCACTCACAGTACTCGTGGCTGCAGTTCCTGGTGTTGTGTGGGTCGCAGAACATGTCCTACGGAGAGAAAGAATCTGGGCTAGGACGGTCCAATATCTGAAAGACCTTGTGTATTGATAATAATTTGTTAATTTGCAGCATGGAGTCTGTAGGATGGTATTAAGAGCAGAACATGTAATAGACCTTCTATATCGATCATAATCTGGTATATTTGTAATATAGAGACAGTAAGATGTTTGTTTTCTGCAGGGTTATAAGCTTTTTACGTTGTTTATTGTTTCGGAATTTGAACAGATGCAATGCACCTCGAAGATGATGCACGGTTTTACATCCCCCATTCATGAAGAATACTTGATTAAAGAGATAACTTATCAATTTCAACCAAAAGTCGAATGAACCTTTTCCAAGAAGAAAACATTAATTCATTTGGCCAGCCTAATGGGATTTATTGTTGGAAGTAGTCAAGTGCAGACTTCGTTCTTTGTTCAAGCAAAAAACGTCTGTCAGATACAAAAGTCTGTTCCTAATGGTAGAAATACATGCTGGGGGTCCAAGAATAAAATGATAAGTTTATGAGATATGCTGGTTTTTCTGAAAATAAACGTGAGGAGAAAGACGTCTTATAGAGTATTTTGTCTTAAAAATTCACATGATCCCCTAAAATCGTTGTTGTTTTTAAGACAGAAGAAATCCTGCCAGCCTGCTTCATCAAACACGACAGGAATATAACTGCAGGACAAATACTAAATATACACCAAGTTTTGATAGTGACAAAAAACGACTGAAATGAGAAATGCATATTTGATGGTGATATATTTGATACGGGCATCGTAGTGATGTTCGGAGCGTTTCGGCGATTGTTTTAGCCCTGTAACGTGTGTAAATGTTGGTCAAAATCAATTTTCAAGTGTATATTTTCTTGTGCCTATCAGTTTACTTCAGGAATGAGTGAGTGAGTTTAGTTTTACGCCGTACTCAGCAATATTCCAGCTATATGTCGGCGGTCTGTAAATAATCGAGTCTCGACCAGATATTCCAGTGATCAATAGCATGAGCATCGATCTGCGCAGTTGGGAACCGATGGTATGTGTCAACCAAGTCAGCGAGCCTGACCACCCGAGCCCGTTAGTCGCCTCTTACGAAAAGCATGGGTTACTGAAGATCAATTCTAACCCGGACCTTCACGGGTTTTTACTTCAGGAACTCACCTTGGGTATGTCAGCAAACTGAGACAGGGGTGGTGACGGAGGTTGAACATTACTGATATGATTCAGCTGTGGTAAATACAGTCTTTTATTCAGGTTAACGGCAGCCAAGGGATAGAACTCTTTGTGGTGGAAAACATAGTTGTCTATCTTGTTGAAGTCCATGGCAATGTAAAACTTCTTATCGGGCACCTGCTTGAAGTGCGGCGGATCTGCCAGGGTGGTGTTCAACCAGGCCACGGGGGTGAGGTCCGGGGTACCCTTCTTGTTCCAGGGATTCAACAGCTGAAGCATTTAGTAGTCAATAAAATTACACCTTGAAAACGTATATGTATAAGTAGAACTGAACAATATACGTAAATAAGGCTTTTACATCGGGGAAGGAGTGAATATGTTTTTACATCACATTCAGCAATATGCCAGCATGGCGGAGGAAATTGTACTCATGTGGGAATTACAATCCGGGCCTTAGGCGAGACAAGCAAACCCTTTGACCAGCAGGGCACCTGATAGCCCCATAACAGACCTACCCGATCTAATTTTGTCGCCTCTTCAGCTGACAAATGTTGATGTGCTGTGCACCTTATCACATTCCCTTCATGTCGAGTAGAAGAATGTGCCTCTCAGTTCACAGACATAAGAAAACATTTCGGGCGTGTAAAAGCATTGGAAGAGATACACTTGAGTAATACAAGTCATCAGAGAATATCTAGATATTTTTGGACGTCGCTGCTGTAGAAGCTTTTCAGTGCATTCAAGTCGTATACGTTTCTGCACAGTAGTCAGATTGTTGGTTGACACATGTCATCGGTTCCCAATTGCGCAGATCGATGTTCATGATGTTGATCACTGGATTGTCTGGACCAGACTCGATTATTTACAGACCGCCGCCATATAGCTGGAATATTGCTGAGTGCGGCGTAAAACTAAACTCACTCACTCACTCAAGTGCTTACTTTCCCTTCTCTCCGCCCGCCCCTATCAAGCATTTCACCTTAATGCTTACCTCCCCTTCTCTCCGCCCGCCCCTATCAAGCATATCACTTTAGTGCTTACCTCGCCTTCTCTCCGACAACTCCAAACAAGCATATCACTTTAGTGCTTACCTCACCTTCTTTCCGCCCACCCCTATCAAGCATATCACCTCAATTCTTACCTTGCCTTTCCTCCGCCCACTCTCGTAGTCTGTAGGTTCACTTGGCTCCGTCTCCGTGGCGTTCTCATACCGCAAGATGGCGACCTGTTTTGCAAACTTAACAAAGCAGTCTGCCAAACCTCGAGTTCGAATCCAGTAGTTGGCAACGTCCTTGTCAGCGTCCAGTATGAAGTCGAACCTAGCAGCACAGACAATATACTGGATGGAAGATCAGCGTTTCAAGTAAAGCGCTGTTGTATTCTGAAGTTTTTTAAGTGTCATTTAGAAAACATGTCCGGTCACATCACTGAATGACATGCAAACACCCACAAGGTTTGGATATAGCGAACCTTTACTCAGGGGCAAAACACATTTACACACGTTTGATGGTGGCAGAAATTGAAACTGACAAGAGAAAGGTATTCGATGGTGATGTATTTGACACGGTATCATGATTTAACTTCTTTGAGTTGGGAAGTACAATACTGAGTGAGTGAGTGAGTGAGTGGGGTTTTACGCCGCTTTTAGCATTATAGTACAATACTCAGTGAGTGAGTGAGTGGGGTTTTACGCCGCTTTTAGCAATATAGTACAATACTGAGTGAGTGAGTGAGTGGGGATTTACGCCGCTTTTAGCAATATAGTACAATACTGAGTGAGTGGGGTTACAATACTGACAAACTTTATGGACAACTTCTTGTATTTCGTGAATGCGACGTTTCGAGAGAATGCTACAAGAGTTTGTCAAAATGTTGCACTCACGAAATATAAGAACTTGTTACCCATAGAGTTTGTCATATTGTATCATGATTTTGTTTTTGACCTCAAGCTGGGACTGTTTCTGCGACTGGTTTCAGCATTGGACGTTTTGAGTGAGTGAGTGAGTTTTACACCGCTTTTAGCAATATTCCAGCAAAATCACGGCGGGGGACACCAGAAATGGGCTTCACATATTGTACCCATGTGGGGAGTCGACCCTGGGTCTTAGGCGTGACGAGCGAACGCTTCAACCACTAGGCCACCCAACCGCCCCAGACGTTTTGAAGACGGTGATTGATTTTAATTTGGTGAAACACAAATGTAAACTTCCTTTTGGTTGGCAGATAATATAACCATAAGCTTTCTCGGGGAGCCATGCCAATCTTCACTTGACAAGGGGGTATACAAAGTATGCGATCTAGACTACAAGTAACCAGAGTTACAGTTTTTTATAGAAGCCATGTGGCTGAGGGGTTAGGCGGATGACTGGGTGCTAGCGATCGAGTGTTGTTCGAATCCCGGATGGGACTCGAACCCAAAAAGTGCTAGAATCTGTACTTTACTCCAGATTATCATATATGTTACATTCGACTACTTTCTAAATGATACTGTGACTTCGCCAGGATACAGGAAACTTAATCACATGAATGATTAGTTTTATAAAAAATGGACAAGGTCAGGTTTGGTGGCTTGGATACGTCTGAGATTGTACATGGGCCTATTACAAGGAATCATATGATTGTCAGTTTTCATGACACCCTGAACATATTTCTGGATTGTACGGTGGATGGACCTCTGAGTCAAAACCACAAACACACGAGATGGTCAATAACTTCTCCCCAAAGTACATACAGTTGATGGACCTCTGAGTCAAAACCACGAACACACGAGATGGTCAATAACTTCTCCCCAAAGTACATACAGTTGATGGACCTCTGAGTCAAAACCACGAACACACGAGATGGTCATTAACTTCTCCCCAAAGTACATACAGTGGATGGACCTCTGAGTCAAAACCACGAACACACGAGATGGTCAATAACTTCTCCCCAAAGTACATACAGTGGATGGACCTCTGAGTCAAAACCACGAACACACGAGATGGTCAATAACTTCTCCCCAAAGTACATACAGTGGATGGACCTCTGAGTCAAAACCACGAACACACGTGATGGTCATTAACTTCTCCCCAAAGTACATACAGTTGATGGACCTCTGAGTCAAAACCACGAACACACGAGATGGTCAATAACTTCTCCCCAAAGCACATACAGTTGATGGACCTCTGAGTCAAAACCACAAACACACGAGATGGTCATTAACTTCTCCCCAAAGTACATACAGTGGATGGACCTCTGAGTCAAAACCACGAACACATGAGATGGTCAATAACTTCTCCCCAAAGTACATACAGTGGATGGACCTCTGAGTCAAAACCACGAACACACGAGATGGTCAATAACTTCTCCCCAAAGTACATACAGTGGATGGACCTCTGAGTCAAAACCACGAACACACGAGATGCTCAATAACTTCTCCCCAAAGTACATACAGTGGATGGACCTCTGAGTCAAAACCACGAACACACGAGATGGTCAATAACTTCTCCCTAAAGTACATACAGTGGATGGACCTCTGAGTCAAAACCACGAACACACGAGATGGTCAATAACTTCTCCCTAAAGTACATACAGTTGATGGACCTCTGAGTCAAAACCACGAACACACGAGATGGTCAATAACTTCTCCCAAAAGTAGAATGTCCAATGCTCCGTCATCTATCTTGCCACGTTCAAGGAGAAGAATGTTGCATGTACCATGTACAAAGATCATGCCAGTATCATTGGCGACGGACACGTAAAGGAATTTTGTTTTCACTGTTCAAGGTCATACATGTTAAGGAAGAAAGGAAGGATGATAACTTTTGTCACATGTTGCACGTGCTGTATCATGCCACAAGATCGTGGCATGTAAATAGTTTGTACTTTAGCATTTCATTAATGTGCTTATGATCTCTTTAGATGATGTTTATTTATACCCAGTTATTAGTTAGCTATTGGGGAATCTGTGATGTTCCTTCAATATTCGAGCAGCTGTATAACCTCCTTGACAGGATTGGGCGGAGAGAAGGGACTGTAGGCATTTATTAGATATGTATCACAGGAGTGGGCGGAGAGAAGGGACTGTAGGCATTTATTTGATATGTATCACAGGAGTGGGCGGAGAGAAGGGACGGTAGGCTTTTATTTGATATGTATCACATGAGTGGGCGGAGAGAAGGGATGGTAGGCATTTATTTGATATGTATCACAGGAGTGGGCGGAGAGAAGGGACGGTAGGCTTTTATCTGATATGTATCACAGGAGTGGGCGGAGAGAAGGGACGGTAGGCATTTATTTGATATGTATCACAGGAGTGGGCGGAGAGAACGGACGGTGGGCATTTATTTGATATGTACACAGGAGTGGGCGGAGAGAAGGGACGGTAGGCATTTATTTGATATGTATCACAGGAGTGGGCGGAGAGAAGGGACGGTAGGCATTTAATTGATATGTATCACAGGAGTGGGCGGAGAGAAGGGACGGTAGCATTATTTGATATGTATCACTAGAGAGGGCGGAGAGAAGGGACGGTAGGCATTTATTTGATATGTATCACAGGAGTGGGCGGAGAGAAGGGATTGTAGGCATTTATTTAATATGTATCACAGGAGTGGGCGGAGAGAAGGGACGGTAGGCATTATTTGATATGTATCACAGGAGTGGGCGGAGAGAAGGGACGGTAGCATTATTTGATATGTATCACTAGAGAGGGCGGAGAGAAGGGACGGTAGGCCTTATTTGATATGTATCACAGGAGTGGGCGGAGAGAAGGGACGGTAGCATTATTTGATATGCATCACTAGAGAGGGCGGAGAGAAGGGACGGTAGGCATTATTTGATATGTATCACAGGAGTGGGCGGAGAGAAGGGACGGTAGCATTATTTGATATGTATCACTAGAGAGGGCGGAGAGAAGGGACGGTAGGCATTTAATTGATATGTATCACAGGAGTGGGCGGAGAGAAGGGACGGTAGCATTATTTGATATGTATCACTAGAGAGGGCGGAGAGAAGGGACGGTAGGCATTTAATTGATATGTATCACAGGAGTGGGCGGAGAGAAGGGACTGTAGGCATTTTTTTTATATGTATCACAGGAGAGGGCGGAGAGATGGGACGGACGGTAGGCATAATAATGATATGCACCACAGGAGTTGGCGGAAAGAAGGAAAAGTAATGTTTTGCAATGAAGGGTCCACACTGACAGTGGCAGAAATGTTGTCAGTTATTAGATCAACTGGATTCTATATAAATGATTTTATTTTCTTAGTGTGCCTCCGTTTCACAATCAAGTCATCAGATTTGATTATAAAAGGGCATGGAACAAAATATACAATGGATCCTTAAAAATACCATTGATAAATGATAGTTTAGAATCGGAAACAAAAGTCATGCCATTTCGTTTCGTGAGCTCGTGTAGTTTGTTAGTGACAAGGTGGATCAGGGTAATTTCAGAAGAACAATGCAAACGTTCATTTGCAACTTCGGGTTTGCTGCTGCAGGAACTGGGGGTTCATGCAAAAGGGAATGAGGAGTGTTGGTAGTTAGCTCACCTGGCTCATGCCGCATTTACAGCTTAGTCGCTGGAGCTATTCGTGAATATTCTGCTCTGCATTCATGGGTAACACAGGCAAGGAATGAATATTCCCTATCAATTCCCTCCACAGGGACTTATAAATATGTTGTTGTTATATATTCTTGCCCTTGTAAATATTATTATTGTCGTTGTTTGTTATAGTTATTTATTGGGGGCTTGGGGTAGCCTAGTTTTTATAGCGTTCGCTCGTCATGCCGATGACCCGAGTTCGATTCCCCACATGGGTACAATGTATGAAGATCATTTCTGATGTCACCCGCCGTGATATTACTGGAATATTGCTAAAAGCGGGGTAAGAGCAAACTCACACTGTCAGTGATTATTTAATGCGACACCTGACAGTTCTGTTTTCAATAACACAACTTGGTACCTCTCTCCAGCGAAGATGTTGAAGGAGCTGACAACGACAGGTTCGTGTGGCACACCATCGGTGGCGATCATGATGATGTCGTGGTTGTCCACGGAGACTTGGATGGGGCAGTTCAGGATGCCGTTACTGATGACCCGGAAGCGGTACTTCTGGTCCTTCTTGACATGGAACACAGAATATGGGGTGTAGATGGTCTCGTTGGTGTCCGAGCTCTGGAACTCACGGAACGCTCCCCGACCTTGAAACAAGCATATTCGCGTGGGTCAAATGACAATTCTTCTGGAACATTTTATGGGTTTTGCCTGAACAAATGTGTAAATGGGGCCAGACGTATCCTTGTATGTGTGAAACAAGTTAAATCTATAAACACTTTACAGCAAATCTTTGAAGGGCATTTAGAAATGGAATGCATAAGAAAAGCAAGATTTATGGATGTCAATTTATTTATTGTGAATAACACGACGTTTCGGAATGTATGCTTGCTCCTTCACCATTCACCTTTTCTTACTTTACAGCAATGTGTCGTAAAAAGAAACAAAATAAATTTGCAAAACGGACAAAATATGATCAAAAAAATAAATGACAAATAACTTGAATTAATGTGCGTTTAGACTATGCTCCATTAATTGTTAGATGTACACAGTATGGCCTTGGAGGACATGGGTGGCGTAATCGTCTCAGCAACCACAGTTCACCATGTTCGCACCAAATACATTCTGATTCGGAGCAATGTGTAATCGGGAATTCCCGCAAGATTTGGTGTTATATTTGGTTGGTTAGTTGTTTAACGCCGCGCTCAGCGACATTTCAGCTATATGGCGGCGGTCTGTAGATAATCGAGTTTCAACCAGTGATCTATATCATGAACATCAATCCACGAAATCGGGATACGATGACACGTGTCAACCAAGTCAGTGAGCCTGGCCATCCGATCCCATTAGCCGCCTCTTACAACAAATCGTGGTTGCTGAAGACCAATTCTAACCCGAATCTTTTCAAGGCATGTGCTTTTTTTTTAAAATGACAACACCCTTTAAAACATAGGTGGATACACCCACGGCAATCCTTAAGGGATTCTTCCCTATTTAGTAGCACGATCAGTTTATGAAGGGTTTGGTCAGTGGTCTTTACTACTACTAGTCTCTAGATAATATGTTGCTTTGATAGAAACATATACCCGTGAAGGTCCGGGTTAGATTATTGGCCTTCAGTAACAGATGATTGTCGTAAGAGGCGACTAACGGGATCAGGTGGTCAGGCTCGCTGACTTGGTTGACACATGTCATCGGTTCCCATTTGCGCAGAACGATGCTGATGATGTTGATCACTGGATTGTCTGGCCTAGACTCGATTATTTACAGACCGCCGCCATATAGCTGAAGTATTGCTGGGTGCGACGTAAAACTAAACTCACTCACTCACTGATAGAAATATATACATAATTCCATGTATTAGAAGAGAGACACAGTGAGCTCGGAGATGGGAACCTAAATTTGCGTTTTAGGGGAATTTTGCATGGCAGAAAGTGTTGCGCAGAAGGGACAATATTGTGGCTCAAGGAGTGTGAGACGGGCCATTAGATCATTTTCAGCATCATGATGGCGTTTTTTAGCAGTGGAAGGCGTCAACAAATTGCATCATCTTCTTCCCACGCCAAGCTGACGTGTCGTAAGAGACGACTAACGGGATCTTGTTGTCAGATTTGCTGGGGGGCGGTTGGGTTGTCAAAGTGTTCGCTCGTGACACCGAAAACCCGGGCTCGATTTCCCAAATCGGTACGATATAGGAATCCCCTTTCTGTTGACCCCACCGTTAAATTGCTGAGTATTACCAAAAGCGTAAAACTTCACTCACTCACCCAGATTTGCTGACTGGGTTGACGTGTCATCGTATTCCAATTGCGTAGATTCATGTTCATGATGTCAATCACTGGATTTTCAGATCCAGACTCAATTTTTTACAGACCGCTTCGTATAGCTGGATTATTGCTGAATGCGGCGTTATACAACAAACAAACAAAAGAAGCTGACGTATAATAATAATGTTGATTGTGGCACAAAACGTAAAACACCAGTCTATGATTCAGGCTTAAAGAGTAATGACTAATCAAAGATAAGACGTCACCGTTGATGAGCATAGACGCAGGTTTGTTGTCGTAACCGGCGTGGTGGTGGCCGGCGAACCTGTTGATTGTCAGTTCCACAAGCCAGTCGTGTACAATCATGGAGTGCTCAGGAAGGTCATGGTCGTACAGGTGGGAGGACGGGTCACGTAACGGAGGTTCCCGGATGATCAGCGCCCCGAACAGACCATCTGATCGGTGAACGCCGGCATGACCGTGCCAGAAATGAGTTCCACGATTACCTGCCTTGAACCTTTAGCAGCAAAAAGATGAACGGTTGCAGTTGGCATAGATTTAACTGTTGTAATTTATGGATGCCATTCAAGTAGCTAAGACAACAGCAATAAAAAGCAATAAGTTTGTACAAATACGTTTCCCTTGTTTCAATTTCTTTCAACCACTATGCATTCAACAATAACAGAGAATTATTGTTCATTTAAACATATTAAGGTATGATACATATGAACCGTTCTGACTCACGTGGTGAACGACTGACTGACTGACTGAGTTTGGTTTTACGCCGCTTTTAGCAATATTCCAGCAACATCACGGCGGGGGACACCAGAAATGGGCTTCACACATTGTACCCATGTGGGGATTCGAACCCGGGTCTTCGGCGTGACGAGCCAACGCTTTAACCATTAGGCTACCCCACCGCCCCTCGTGGTGAACGAAGATCTAGTCAGACAGTAGACTTGTACTAAAAAGGTGTGACGTTCAAGGTTAATGTGTGTCGGGCTTGACCCCCGACTCAGTGCTTCCATTGGATAATCATATCTGGTTTAAATTCCAGGCTCTGTTTGAAAGCTTCGGTCAAATCTAACAGTATGTATACTGTCATAAACATTTCCTCGCTGATTCCCCAGTCTGTATGTATCTCACCTATCATTTTTCTAAGCAAAAGAAGAACTGTTAAGTCAATTACTCCGCATCCTCTTTCTTAAGAGGGAGATTGAGTGAATATGGTTTTACGACGCTTTTAGCACTATTCCAGCAATATCACGGCAGGGGACACCAGAAATGGTCTGCACATTGTACCTCTTTCTTAAACCGGTTTCGTTTCGTCAATGCAAAATGTCAAAATTTATGTAGAAAAAACATCTGTAATTTATTTAAAACGCTGGCAATAATATAAACTGAACGCCAAAAGAAATGTTACACCTCTTCATATGCAAATATTTTCCCAACGATTTCAAGTTTGAGAACCGATTTGTGTGTGTCATACAGATTCTTCATTTCATAAGAAGAGTAACTGATGATGTTTTTGTATAAGTAACTTATGACTGTGCAAAACCCATGTGAGTAAGAGTGGTATCCATTGTTCCGTTTTCGATCAATCACAAAAACCAAAAGAGACATTGAAAAAGCAAGATTTTAATGAAATACCCTCTTTGATTAGTATCTGGTATGACCCCCGTTGGCATTCAAACATGCCTGAACTCGTCGCCTGACAGAATACGTCAAACGTCGGATGAAAGCAGCTGGAATCTGCCTCCACTCATCCATCAGAGCAGCAATCATGTGTTGACGTGTATGTGGCTGCTGCTGACGTAACCGGATCCGACGATCGATGTAATCCCAGAGGTGTTCAATAGGGTTCATGTCCGGCGATCTGGCAGGCCGAAATCTGCACGTTGTTGGCGTTGAGAAACTGTAACGTCTGTCTGGCTACACGAGGACGAGCATTGTCCTGTTGGAAGAGGGTGTTAGGATTCTGCTGGAGGAATGGGAGGACCTCTGGCTGTAGGGCCCTGTTGGTGTACCTCTGTGCGGTGAGGTTGCCGTCGATCACAACGAGGTTGGATTTCGTGTCGCCGCGTATATCGCCCCAAACCACAACGCTTGCTCCTCCAAAGGGTTTGACTTCCTGTACACAGCAGCGTGCCTCTCTTTCACCCCGGCGACGATAGACCCGTATTCTCCCGGCCGCTCGAACAGTTTTCACGTGCATTTCATGCAAGGTGAAGTTACAATGGGTACGTTTTGGCGTTATGCTTCCTTATACAAGGACAGAAACAGGCAAAATTTTACAGTATCTAAATTAGTCTTTTCTCGTTTGACGACTCTTCCTAAAACAGTCGAAAGTCATAATGATCCAAAAATTAAACCTCAAGTGGTTGGAATGTTTTTTATTGAGACAAAAATCCAATTTCAGCATTGGGTCCCTTTTTACGGTAAACAACCATTCTTTCATATTCAAAACCCAACTTTATCACTCTTTGTGAATGTGCATGCATTATCACCATAAACAATATCATTTGGACCCATTTATAACTGTTTTTTACACTTTTGATTTGAATTTTTACATGATTGAAAATAGGACAATGGACCCCACCTAAACAAACATGTCGATATCCTAATTATCAATGAATTCCTCAGTCTGATGTTTTGACTCAATAGAGTTACATGATTGGTTGTTAAAACATACCAAACCAAAGTCTTCTATCCATATAACAGTTTAGGATATTCTAATGTTAAGAGGTGTAACATTTCTTTTGGCGTTCAGTTTATTATTACCCATACGGGCTAGGATACACAGGTGATTATTTTTGTGATAATCGCACATATGCTTTTAAGTGATTCTCAACGTTGATAGGTCAGCTAAGCAGAGAAGACATATGATTGGTTGATGGAACTACCTTTCATGATCCAAGGTCATTGACACTTTTTACCGTTTCATTGATAATTAGAACGTGCTGTACTCACACATTCCGAGATTTATAAAGAAAACATAAAGGTTAAAAAATATGAATACACTTTTTATTAGACATTAATATTTTGTAATACAATTGCGCTATAAATAGTAGTCTTTTTAAAATAAATAACCTTTTAAAAAAACCAAAACATGGCCGCCATTAGGCTAACCCTGATCAAGGCCAATGCGCCCTGGTCAAAGTTGACGGTGACCTAATAGGAAGTGTGATAAGAATTTTACAGCCCTTGACCTCCTGCAACCTGTTTGTTGTTAAAACTGAATTCGGGGAAATAGAATCAGCAAGATACCGACTAAAGGTGTTACCTGAAAGTGTGACAAGTGAGTCTGCCACGGCGTCCATGCCATAGAACCAAGTACAATATTCCGGGCACAAAAATGTTCAATCAATAAACAGTTACTCTTCAATTAATGAGAAACAACATCAGTCCATCAATACATTGTTGTCAAACCCTTGTTACTCCACCACTCTGCCCACTCATCCTCAGCCTCAGACTGCCTCCACGACATCCCAGTCTTTGTCGCATGCAGTAAATCTTCATTCTGTACATACACTATTCTCAGGTCCATTTTATGGTGGTGTATTCCACTTCAGCATCTCGAATGACTCCTCTGTCAGTCGACCATCTGCTCCAAAGAGGCGTATTCTTCCTCTGTTGACTCGGATTCCGACTAGAGTTATCCTTCTTGGAACTGCTGTACCTGACTGCGACCAATGACGCGCCTGTGTGTAACACGCCTTCCACAGAACAAAATTTTGTTTTATCTTCACACTTGTTGAGTTTCTTGACAGAAAACTTTCTCTAGATGTAATCGTGGGATGGTTGTCATTTAGATTTCCCAACTTTTAACCGTTGACTTTCCCAAAACTTGACAGGTTTTTGCCAATGTGTGTTTCAACACTAGACCTTCGCCCGTCACTAGAGACACGCCAGTCGTGAATGAACGATGTTCCGGCGCACTGACTTGAACAAATAACATTTTAGCTATTATTATGTTCAGTGGTTTTGCATTTAAAGATCATTTTTATCATATTAACAAATGTTAATAAATTATTCCATATAAAATATTTTTGTTGTATTTTTAAGCGATTTTACGAGGTACTATTTCCATAGCGTAGTTATGTTATTACCACTGGAGCAGTTAGGTTTATTACGCGCACGAATACGAATCAGCTGTTTGAGGTCACTAGTCCTGTCTCCGGGTGGTTTTTATTTCGTGGTTCTTCTTTATAAATTACATCATGGGTAATAAATAGAATAACCAGCTCGGTATGAGTGATTACGGGGAACAAGGCTCGGCACTGTGAACATCCGGCATATTTCCCGTAATCACTCGTACCTCGTTGGTTATTCTCTAAATACGTCACTCGTTCTCGTTAAATACCAAGTATACGAAAACGAGAGAACTTCCTGTGGTATCTAACGTGAAGTGTTCTCTATATATTATCTACAACGCTACAACAGACCTATACTTTAACTTGGAGTGAGGTAACACTATACACTGAGACATAGTTGAAGGTTGCACGTGACTGCAGAATCAGACCCGTGAAGATCCTTCAGTAACCCATTCTTATCGTAAGAGGCGACTAACGGTCGGTTGGTTGGGGTCGTTGACTAAGTTGATGCATGCCTTATACCAGTAACTAAGATTGATGTTCACGATGTCAATCACTGGATTGTCTAGCCCAGACTCGATTATTCACAGACCGCCTGCATATTATTTGAATATTGCTGGGTAATTAACAACAGTGAAACAAAACTACACCAAGTATATTACACTACGTAACAACGAATCCGCTACGGAGCTCGTAGCCAGTTCTCACTGTACAATAAGACAGGGGTCAATCCAAGGGAAAATTGACGAATACTCATCTTGTGTACAATACCACGCACCTGTACTGGAACGTGGAGTGGGCTGTTATCGGACACTGGGTGACCATGCTGACTCCGTCATGATGTTGATAACCCTTCTGGAAGACGCCGTGCCAGTGGATGGTCACCCCCTCGGCACCCTCCATCTTGTTGTGCACGTTGACGATGATCATGTCGTCCTGACAAACCTTGAGGAAGGAGAAATGGTTGACGTGAACACAGCCAACAGGGTGTGCGCTACATACTTGGATATAGAACTCGAGGTCATTGTCTGTGTGAGGTCTGTTATCATATTCCGAATGCTATTTTGCTATAAATATTTTATGTCTTCATTATTATATATATTATGTATGGAATCCTCTCTTCATATATGGTATGCTGTAAATAACAGATGTTCATGATATGATATAGGTCAATGCAGTAACTTTAGACAATGTGCAGGAATGTAATATTTGTGTGAATCGTATAGCGCCAATTAGTTTGCAGGTAAAGGTGTTGAATGTGGATGCGTCTAATACATAGATGAATGATAAGTCGACAACTAAATGATCACCTCTAACGATGGAGATATGGAGAAGGAAATTCAAAGTCCAGGAGAAAGACATGGTACCTGAGCTGGTTATATTTGACCCGCTTTGAGCTGTATTGGGTGATCGGATTAGGGCGTGTGGGAGATTCATTGTGTACTGAATTAGTTAGATAATTTTACGCCGCTTTTAGCAATATTTCAACAATAATAAGGCGGGGGACACCAGACATGGTTGTGGGGAATCGAACCCGGCGTGTCTTCGGCGTGACGAGCGAACCACCCGGCCACCCTAGCGCCCCTCGCCCTGCATTACCATACGTAGACACAAGGATTTTATTCTGCTTTCATAATTTTATTATGGCTCGTGGTAATAACGAGGAACGTGAAAGTGAAAACGGGGTGGGTTTGACGCCACTTCGAGCAGTGTTTCAGTGATTTCACCGCGTGTCAGCTAAATGGAGCCTAAACTGAAGCAGATCATAGACGTCGCACTCGACAGAAACTAATGTCAGTGATAACCCCAAATATGAACAAAAGTACCTGAAGGGCACGAAGAATGATGTATGACGTCATCCGTCTCCATGTATCACAGGTGACTGTTTTATATGTGACAGTATGACAATGTAGCTGTCACGCTGGAATGACGCCCCTTTAAATGCCGTGACGCTACCGCATGTCTAATAAGATCCGATGAGATACGGCGCTTTTTTCATGTATGTCTGACTCAAAACTAACGGGAAAATGCAACTGTGCATAACATAAAATTGTATGTATGTATGTATGTATGTATGTATGTATGTATGTATGTATGTATGTATGTATGTGTGTGTGTGTGTGTGTGTGTGTGTGTGTGTGTGTTTGTATGTATGTATGTATGTATGTTTGTATTTGTGAGTGAGTGCGTGCGTGCGTGCGTGAGTGTGTGCGTGCATATATCTGTGAGTGTGTTCAATGGATGAATACCATGACTCAAATTTTAGACAACTTGAGCAATAATTCAGTAACTTCTCTCAGGGCACCAAACATCGACTTCACACATAGCGGGGATTCAACCCGGAACTACAGCGTGATGCGGGAACACGTTCTGCACTGCGCCACCGACCGCCCTTGAAGGGTTTATGGTCTGTTATCAACCGGTGCAACGAACGCGTGTCTCTCGAAACCGCAGCAGCTGTTGCAATATTCATATCGGAGGTCTGTCGGCTATTTGTAACCATTGAAAGGATCGCATTTGTGTTTTCTCAGGTTTAATGCCATTCTCAACACGAGCTAATGTAGACTTTACATGTTGAAGCACTAAAAACTGAAATAAGTGAATATAGAATGTCTTGTGCGTGGCACAAACAACACCAACTTAATGCATGCACACAGAGACCCTTTTTTTTAAAGTAGTTTACATAATTTTAAGTGTCCCGCTGATGCTGACTGTGACTGGACTAATGTTAACGTACATGCACCTATTGTGCACCTGTCAGTCATAAAATCCATGTGGGGTAGTTTGACAAGTCCCCGTGAAGATCCGGTTTCAGAGTTGGCCTTCAGTAACTTTGCAAAAGTAGTTGCACATTAATGTGTCACAGCTCCTGAAAGAAGGGTGGCCTACCCCTGACCGGATTCTGATTATACGTCCTTGACCTTGGCATGTTCGTAACATCCTTTTATGGTACTTGTGCAATAGTAATGTTGTAGAAACATTAGAAATGTTTTCACAATTTCATACCTAGTCAATATTTGTTAAAATTCAAATTTCTTGAATTAAAAATGTCACCAATTAAACTTTTTTTTCAGGGTGTTGGTCATTACACAACCGGTCATGAAAATGAAAAATTCAAAAAGAGTACTGTTCAAGAAACATATTAATCTCTGTGATTACAAAATGCCGTTTAGAAAGTGGTCAAATCTAACAAATGTTATATTTGGGATTACACTATCTTACTAAAGTACAGATTCTAGTTCTTTTGTTGGGTTGAGTCCCATTCGGGATTCAAACCTACACCCTCAGAGTCAGACACCTGATCGCCAGCACACAAAGACAGCCGCCCAACCCGCTCAGTCACCGAGCCTTGTGAAAGGGTTAGGTGCCTGACTCTATGGGTGTGTGTTCGAATCCCGGATGGGACTCAGCCCAAGTAAAATACTGGAATCTATACTTTATCAAGAAACTGCAATCACAAATATAACAAATGTTATATTCATCTCTGACATAGACAATATCATACATTACATTCATCTATGCAACTGATTTAATTGATTACTTCAATGTAATTGTTATAAATGATATAAATAAATTTCATATTTATCATATTTTTCATTATACATCACATGAAACACACACATTTGCCCATGTTATATCCGCAAATGGACGTAAATCACAGATTTTATTTTCAGTTATGTGACATAAGCATTCCACAGCCATGGCCGCGGCCATGTTGTAGTACCGCACAACCATCTGCTTCCTGTATTCTGATTGGTCAAACATACCTTGCATCCATGGTGATTCACTGCTTTAGAATTTTCCATTCTAAGGCTTCTAAATACTTAATGTGCAAGTGATTTACCAAGAAATAGTAGGCTATATAGATAAGAAACTTAATTATAAAACCCTAACTTTGTATTCACCAGATATGTTTGACACAATGTTGGGGTTCGGCCTACGGCCTATATCGTCAGATTTGTTTTCGCGTCGGCGACACATACCGTCGTGGTATTGGAGAGTGTCGAAGTTTGAAGGGGCCTACGTATACACTTTGAGTTATCCGAATTCGCAGGAACCCAGCTTTTACTTCGACATAACCAGGCATCTCATTGTTTAAACATATTGTCCTACATGTTTGAACCTCAAAGCATGTTTAATTCCGTCTTTTAAACGAAACATATTCACCTTGAAAAAATAAGCATTATACTTCATTTTGACATTCATAAAGTCAAAGATTAAAACTATATTTCTGTCCAAACTATTAACACATTATCCACAAACCACAGGCTTATCAAAATATTGGTTGGTTGCATTTGGCTTGGCTTCCATGAGCATGCAACAGTAATAGATTTTGGAGAGGTGCTTATTTGTCTGTTTGACTGGTTTGTTGCTTTGTGCCGCACTCAGCAATATTCCAGCTATATGGCGACGGTCTGTAAATAATCGAGTCTGGACCAGACAATCCAGTGGTCAACAGCATGAGCATCGATCTACACAGGTAGGATACGATGACATGTGTCAACCAAGGTAATTGGTCTTCATCAACCTATGTATGTCGTAAAAGGCGACCAACGGGATCAAGTCATCGTAACCCAATAGCGCTGATCGATGTTCTTGCTGTTGATCACTGTATTATCTGATCCAGACTCGATTTATTTAGAGACCGCCGCCATATAGGTGGAATATTGCTGAATGCGTCGTTATAACAACAAACACAACAAAATATGATTTAGTTGCCAGATCCTCATCCCTTACCTGTACGGCAGGTCCTGGTAGCATCCTGTTTGTGGTGATGATCCCCCTACCGACGCCGTCAGCAGCAACACAGTGCGGCCGGTAGCAGTCAGTGACGTTGTACGGGCAATCATAGCAGGCTTTGGTCAAGACGAAGTAGTATTCCACTGTGAAGTTATAGACGCAGGTCATAGGGGCCGCTCCCTCCTCACACTCACGTATACAAGGGTGGTTGGCATAATCTGAAATATACACAATTATTATTATTAAGTGTGTGCATGTTTGAGGCAAGAAAGGGGCATCCATATGGACACAAATTGTGCTTTAATTTCTTGCTGAGCTGTTTCTGCTCCGAATGACAAATTCAAAGCGAATGATATTCTTTAATTTGTCGGATCAGTCACCAAAAGTATGTTCTTTGCAATACTCTATTTTGAATTTTACCATATGTGTTTTGTTTAGGCGAGAACGTGTTTGTGTCATCGATGTGGTGTGATGATGTCTCACCTATTGGAAATTCTTGTATCATCACTATATATAGGAAAGGTGACGGAAAATGTTTAGTAGGTTATATTTACGTCATTAATTACTTTAATGGTGGATCCAACGAAAATATACTATTCCAAAAAAGAAACGCATAACCCAGAAATCTGTTGCAAAAATGTTGTATTTTCAAACACATATAACTCGTCCACAAATAGACTTTAGTATTTTTTTACATCAGTTTAGAAGAAGGTAATGTCTATACAACCAAGTGGATAAGTTTAGATAGTGGAGACGTTGATCGCGATGGTGACTACGTAGCATAGTCCCCACGTCGGGTCTCCTGGCTCTCAGTCCGTACAGTTTGACAAGGTATCCTCCGAAGTCCAGGCACCCTGGCTGCTGTGCTGTCACCCGTGGCAGTACGATCACGCAAATGTAGTACCCGGATGGGCGTGCTCAGACGCCTGGCAACAGAAAATTGGTAATCTCCAGCGGGCATTCTTTCAATGGCGATGTTCCGTGTCGCAGCGTCAAGACGTGGCGTAGTGATTTGACCTTGGAACCCCCTCAAAACCAATGCCGATTTCCGAATGTAATCTGGATTTTTATAGCCAGACAGTGCATGCTCTTTGCTGCACAAGTTAAACTGGAAGGTGATTTCTGTTGCGTTGTGGCGATGCCTTTTTAATTCTTGTAGGAAATATCAAGATCAACATTTTCAGGTAAAGTCGATTTTTCACTTGTACAATAGTGTAAAATCATGTTATCAACACTTTTGCTACACATTTTGACGATTGTTTGAACACAGTTGGTAATTAATAGATTTTTAAAAATACAAAACACCTGTACGTTTCTTTTTTTGGATAGTATATATGATGCCCATCACTGGGTCACTAGTTCATCAATCTTCAACTATTTAGACAGCACAACATTCCCTTGGCGTTCAACCATTGCGACATGAGGCTTAATATGTTTCATCTAAATACCGTGAACACACTATCCGTGTCCACAACACATCTACAAACTAACTGACATTGTCCTTCAATACAAACTCGTGAAGACCGCGGTTAGAATTTGTCTTCAACAACCCATGCTGACTAACGGGATCGGGTGGTCAGGCTCGCTGACTTGGTTGACACGTCATCGTATACAAACTGCGTAGATCGATGCTCATGCTGTTCATCACTGGAGTTTCTGGTCAAGACTCGATTATTTACAGATCGCTGCCATAAAGCTGGAATAATGCTGAGTGCGGCGTTAAACAACAAACCAACCAACCATATCTACCCTGTCTAAAAATTGTCCAAATAAACACCCCATATTTACTCTGTCTAAATATTATCCAAATAAGCACCCCATGCTTACCCTGTTTAAATATTTAAATTATCCAAATATTCACTTCATATTTACACTGTCTACATATGATCTGTTTATAACCAGATTTTTCAGTCCGACTTAAATACATCCCATTTATGCAATCTGTCTCCTAACACCATCCATTTACACAACTCACAGACATTTCGTCTGAACACCATCCGTAGGCCGAGTCCAACGACACACTGTCGAATACTATCCGTTTACTATCAATGGACAAACAGTCAAAATACCGTTCAATTTATATACTCTTCAAAAAAAGAAACTTGACATGCTGTTTTGGAGTTTACTTACTGAGTGCATATAATTGATTCAAACATGACATCATTGCCCAATTACAGTAAAATCATCACTTTACAAATTTCCAAAACATGATTATCCAGAAAGTGTTTGGTAAAACCACAGAGGGTTATTAAAGCCACTTGGTCAGAGTAAAATGTCAGTATCTGGTGTGACCACCATGAGCATCGATAACAGTCTTCTGGCAAAATGTCTGGCTTCCCATAGCCAATTGCCTGATCGGAGATTAGACGCAGTCCAAAGATTTTGATTGTTGTGGATGATGCGGCCGTGGTGTTTGAACGAAGATGTCTCAACCGGATGTAGCGATCCAGGGCGGCGGTGTTAACTCTAGGTCGACCTGACCTGGGTCTGTCCTTAACACTCCCAGTATTGTTGTATTGGGTCCATAGGTTTGAGATGGTCCGTCTGGACACGCTGAAGTGCCTTGCCACCTCATGCTGCGATGCCCGTCCTTGTAAAAGGCCGATGGCGTTGTGTCGTTGAGCTTCTGTCAGTCTTTTCATTCTCTTGTCGTCTATAGTGGCTAAAAACAATGCACGTGTAGTATCATTGATGTGGCTTTTTAAAGCCTACAGTCATAGGCTTTAGCTCAGGCTGATACACAATTTCATTATGCACGTACATTTCATGTAAAGTGCGTTTTAGCGATTCACTACAGACGTGAGTGTAACGTCATGTTTTCGTTCAACGTTTCTCCTTGCAAACGTTTTGTCGTCGGCAACCATTCCCCGACATGTTGGGATTCCTCGTGGATTGATCTATGTCAAATGTGTTTCTAAAACTCAATTTTTTCTATGTCAAGTTTCTTTTTTTGAAGAGTACTGTACCAAGAGAACTGACCATATAACCCCGTCCTGAAATCTCTCCACTGGCGACCCGTAGAGCACCGCATCACTTTCAAGACTCTTCTATCACGTATTCAGCACTAAATGATGAAAACTCCCCAGTTTATATTAGGGACATGTGACATCGCTACCAACCAACAAGAGATTTAAGATCAGCCGATGATAAACAAAAACTAAAACAAAGATGGGCAAAGGGGCTGTATGCTTTGCAGCTCCAAAACCTTGAAATGCTCTACCACTGGAAATCAGAAATTGTCCATCAAAAGACTCTTTCCTGACCCATCTGGAGACCTGCCTGCCCGCCCACTTCAACAAGCACCGTTGAGGAGTCATGTCCAATCTGGAAACCAGGCGCTATATAAATTATTCATTCATTTAAGTCCAATGCCTTCCAGCCAGAATACCATCCATCTGTACGGTCCACCTACAAACTGATCAACGAGGAGAGTTCTATGGATATAAAACTTGTTTAATATAACATGAGCGACGTTTCGGAGTAGCTACAGCTTGTTCAGCTTGACCTGAGCTACTATACATATGCATGCCCCGGGACGTCAAATGGCACAAACGTCAGGTCAAGTTAACTTCATTAAATAGGGGAGCAGAGAATGTTATTAATGTTGCATTTGTGCGAAGCACGCATACATGGATTCGTTACAGAACATGCCCTGGAAAACAACACTTTTGTAAATTAAGCTAGGACATTACTGACGATTTCTCGACACTGAGATGTCAAACGGCGATGTGTTCGGACATGTTGACAAACAACTGACAAAGGTGCACCCCTTCACAATAATAGACCCCACCAATTGTGACACGGTCACGCAATGCATTAGTATTCACTTGATCAGGTCAAGCTGAACAAGCTGTACTAACACAGTTATCAAGCAAGTGATGTACATTACTGAAGGCAAGGTTATATATATATACATATGAGGTTTGAACAGTAAGTAAATGCCACTCAAAAAAGGCCCCTACAAACTATCCGACTACAAAATGATGGTGTCCACTTAATCATGTTTGTCTGCCATGTATTCTTATTTGCCCCAAATCGTACTGACAATTCATATCCATATTGTCTCGTGAAATTTATAACGCCCAACGAAACGGTTATAATAGTCTAAGAATGTATTACTACTTACAAATGAGGCGGACTTTAGGTATACTATGAAGTGTTGCTTTATTTTAGTTGCTGAGTATTGGTATCCAATGTGAGGTCATGGGTATACGCGGGAACGTGACACGTATATAAACACTGGGCCATTATTATTCAGCGAACGTGAGGCAATTCGAGATGTCCTTGAGTTTATATTACAAAGGCAACAAAAGGATGTGTTACAAGTACGACATAACCCGGTCCTAATATGAAGGGTAAACAACCAGCTTGGAAGGTACATCCTTGTCGCCGTCACAACAGGATGCATGTGCAGTCATATAGAACAATCTATGGTTATTACATAGTGAGTGAGTGAGTCAGTCAGTCAGTCAGTGGTTTTATGTATAGTTTTATGCCGCTTTTAGGAATTTCCAGCAATGTCACGGCGGGAGACAACAGAATTGGGCTTCAAGCATTGTACCCATGAGGGGAATCGAACCCAGGCCTTCAGCGTGACGAGCGAACGCGTTAACCATTAGGCTACCCCACCCCATAAAATATAATGAAAAATACCCTGGACGTAATCGCCGCCATAGGTTCGTTTTCAGCTCGATTCGAATAGCTCTATTATATTTGTATTTATGATGTGGTACCACATGAGGACCACACACGGTGACGACTCCAGAAGTAACTGTGTTTGAGTAGTGTGCTCCTGTATATATCAGGGCAGGGGAGGATACAACATTTTGAAAGGGGGTTGGGGGTGCACACTTCATTTTCACGAGAGTTTCAATTGTTATTTTATAAACTTTCTTGGCAAAAGGGGGTGCGCACCCTGCACCCGGCTGGTCGTTAGGAAGTAAGTTGCTGCAGTTGCAACTGGTTCTTTAAATCACCAACGCTGGTTTCCGAATCCCTTTCAACTTGCGACAAAACCATGTTGCAATATGAGAGGCCCAGTTTAAAAACTAGCCTCCTGACACGGACATGCCAGGATCAGGTTTAACGAGATTGAATGTATAGTTATAACTTGACGTAGACTATTTATAACAGAACGGAGCTGTATTATTTAACACAATCGAGGATTGCGTTAGTAGAGTCCTCACGCAGGACCAGAATTACTTAACGATCTTACAGA